AAAGTTTGATGGTGTAAGAGTGGAAGAAATGGTTTATTTGCTAGTTCAAAGAAGGTTAGTTAGTTCATGCCTAGCACTATTTTCATCAAATAAATTACGTGCAGTGAAATATGGTCTAGTGGAATTTTTATACTTAGACGTTGGTGAATAAAGTCTTCTGAAAAGACTTGTTGTTTTACCTGAGGAGACACAAAGTTGGAGCTGCGCGTAGAGCGGGTGCTCACAGTCTGACGAGATTCCTTTAACAAATCTGTTGCATGACATCAAGTGTCTATCAGTGACAATGTCAACGATACGGTCCAATGGGATGCCACCACTTGCCCTACTGACAGCTAGTCTTCAGAGTTCTACGAAGTATGACATAGTCTTTTTTGAGCAACTGAGGAAAGAATAAGGGTGAACAGTAAAGAAGAATAGGTAAGATGCACGAGTTGACAAACTGTAAGAGGAGGGTTTGGTTGAGTTATATGCCTAGGCGTCTTAACTTCTTAACGTAAAAATTCAGATAAGGTTTTTAGGAGAAAGTGGAGATGGATCGGGCATACACAACTGTAGAGGCTGCCGAATGACATAGCGTGCTAGACCCTCTAGTGGAAACCAAATAGGAAGCGACGAGTTGGTCGTTGATGCGAGGGTGACATGAAGGAGATAGCGTGAGGAAGAGATGAGACAGTTTGGGTAATCTTGAACACAGTTGAAGGGGACGGCAGAAAATAGAAGAAAGAGGGAATGTATTGTTGAAGGCCAATCTTCCACTCGGAATCCAAGAGAACAATAACAATAATTATTATTATTCTTGGGTGGTCCATAATATTAATCAATAAATGTATGATGTGGCCAGTTAAAAAAAGGAAGGACTACAGACAATGTGGGTGAGTAGATGTACTGACTTCACCTTATTACTCAGACATACAGACATGCATATAGGCATTAAAATTTTGAAGTTACTACAATTAGCCAACTGCCAAATGAAGCCTATTGAGTAGTGATATTTGTAAGGCGGTTTTAGATCTTAGTTTCGTGTCGTTATAATCACACGCATACACACTTACACATAATATAGTAAGGTGAGGATTCAGGCTCATAATATTGTGGTAGTGTGGTACAGACTCCGGGTTCCAATGGAATATATTTTGTCGGTGTTGACGTCTGAATGCTGTAAGGAGACAGACACATGAACACCAAGTATAATAAAGAGAAACTGACAACACAGTTAAAAGAAGAAACTACTATTCCTAAAATTGCAGTTTTACGGGGACGTGGTTAGTAGGGAAGTCTTATATCTAAGGTCATCGACAGCGATACAACTAACTGCCACCACCCTTTATTTGTCAATTTACATCTGCTAACCAATCATAAATGATCAAGCGGAAGACAAGCTACCTAGTTGTGCCAGTCACTTCTATGTGTATCTACAAATTTAGTTGCTCCTGTGGAGAGAGCTGGCTATATACGGCGAACAACTAGACAGCTTAACAAACGCATTAATGAGCAACTTCCTTCATGATTTGGAAAAGATCAAATAAAATTTATAAGAAGTTCTATTTTGTCTCATTTGATTGATGATACCGTTCACCAAGTGGACAGAAGAGTAAGTGCCTTCAAAGTTATCTATCGCATTCCATCGAGCCTTTCTAACCAGCCTGCTTAACGCACAGCCGAAGAGGCTATAGGAATTAGCTCAAGAGAACAATCGTAGTCTTTACATACGACAAAAGGAATTTGTTCTACCTTTGTCTCTCCCTTGCTTTCTATAGTTTGGTTTGTAAGGATTAGTTATGTTTTACGGGTTGATCACGGATTGATATCAGTTAGAGAACTATTGAAAACCAGGGAGTACTGGACAGCTGCTGTTTCATCCTAGTTTGGGAATCATCGACAGTACGCACCCACTGCCAGGATTCGAACCCGGGACCTTCCGGTTACAAGCAAAGCTAGCCCGTATACCATTCAACCACTGGGACCCGATTCAATGGCTCGTGAATTCTAACTTCTACTAATTCAGGTTGGAGTTTCCTGAGTTCTAGTGAAAAGTCGTGACCAGTGAGGTCTAATTAGATGTCACGTGTGTGGATGGATGTCCCACCAACGACAATGGTTGGGGTCGCGCTAAATCACGAATTAGTAGAAGTTAGAATTCACGAGCCATTGAATCGGGTCCCAGTGGCTGAATGGTATACGAGCTTGCCTTGTAACCGGAAGGTCCCGGGTTCGAATCCTGGCAGTGGGTGCGTACTGTCGATGATTCCCAAACTAGGATGAAACAGCAGCTGTCCAGTACCCCCTGGTTTTCAATGGTTCTCTAACTGATATCAATCTTCTTTGCTTGCCTAGGTGAATTCTAATCAAAACCCTCCCACCCTTTCTTGTTTTCCATTTCTTTCGCACTTTTATGATATTTAATTAAATTCTAATTATTTCTCCACATCACCTTTTTACGAGTTGATCACGGATTGATATCAGTTAGAAGAGGGAAATTTTTACATTGAGGTATCAATTATCTTCATATATTTTTACTAGAATCATGATTTTCCAATACAATAGACACGAATTCTTTAAATTAACTTCTGTTTCCCGTAGGTGGATTGTACTGAAAGCCTAAATGCTCCATCTTTGTTGAAATGTCAGCTTCTTGTATGAACACCTGGATGATATTTGAAGATTATCATCAATCTTATTCCCTTGAGCTTTGAATGGAACATAGATCTTCAGCAAGACATCTCTGTTGCATCCTGTTTTTTTCTGCATTCACCTTTATCTGGCTCCAAGATTGTCCATTAACTTTCATCTCTTCTTCCCAAGATCTCCTCCATGGGAGTCTTGGATGTCCAACTCTTCTCTTCCTATTCAAGTTCCACTCGAGGAAGTTCTCTATCTTCTATGACTCTTCTACAAAATGGTTCCTTTACGCCTTTAGGTCTTCGAATCTCTGTGAGTGACACTAGATATAAATTATTCAAGAAGTTTAGATCTTCTACAGTCTTCTCGTTGGTCCAGCGTATGTGTGTCTTCACGCTCCCCATGATCATCAGCACAATCCAATCCACTACAATTTGGAACACCATCACTGATAGCAGACAGCTTTGTTTTACTCATATCTTCACTTCAAAGGTCTAGTTATTCGAGTTTTGCGCTGTGAATCACTTGACATATGGCACTTGTCCCATAGTTGTTGAATGAGGTTTATAAAGTTGTGTGAGATTGCACTCCCTATTGTTGAAGTAATTATCAAACCACTTCTCTGTCGACAATGTTGAAGGCCTTTTCAAAGTCTATGAAGATCAGGTGCAGAGCTATCTGTCTATCTGTTATTATTATAGAACTTTGCACCGAATCGCGGCAGTTCAAGTTGCCACACTCCATGTAGCACACAAAGCAAGAGATGAAGGTAGAAGAAATGCATAATAGAGACAGTAAACAGAGGTGTGAGAGAAAGAAATAGAAATAACAAAGAACAATGTAGTTTCATTGGAAATCACAGGTCACAAGGAGTGGATGCATCTGCGCCAACCATTGAGAACAATTTTGAGCCATGTCATCAATTGTTTCCAGCCATTGGCTTTTACCGTCCCAAGGAACCCAACCAGCCAAGAAGTCTACACCTTCCTATGTGACTTAGACTAACTGTTGTAGAGAGCTTATTTGCCAACTTGCGCTCTGTTCGGTTATAATGCGTACAGTTGTATTTTCCTTAGTTCATCTTGTTCCAGGAGTAGTTTTCCATCAAGAGCACTTTTCAGTTTCTCCAGAATGATACCATCAAGAAGATTTCAATAAGACTCGAAATCTGCAGTCTCAGTTGATGAAACCTAAAATTGAACGAAATGCTCATATTGGGTTCCGTTGTTAGTCGCTATCAGTTAAAATAAAAGTAGACAATAAATTGTCTACCGCTTATTGTACCTTTTCGTATTTTTAGTAATTACTTAACTGGCATATCAACTTATCGAGTTTGAGCAAGAGTACAGTAATTCAAGAAGCACAAAGTGTAATTGAAGAAAACAGATATAAGGAGACTGCAGTGAACTAAGACAGGTGTATTTGAGATGGGATAATTAGACAACAAAGTGAGGATTATTCACAACGTACAAAATAACGAGAAATTTTGAAGTATATCACTACTAACCAGTTCCGCTCACGGTAGAGGGTGGCGGTAAAGAAATCTTGTAAATCCTGGTTTACCCTGCTACTGTCTATAGCTAACAGCAAGGTCTTCACGTGGAAGCAACCCTGAGACATTCTAAAGAAAAATCAGATTATTTCTGACAAACCTGAAGGAGTTGTCTTCTGACCCCTGAGATTACAGAATACTAATCCTATTTCTATTCCAGATGTTTCAAGATGGAATCAACTATCGTAATGTGTCTATTCCTTCGTGTGGTTAGGACTCTCGACGACCATGCACATGGTCCGGGGTTCGAGCCCACACCGGCGCACACCAGATATCTATGGTCGGCCTGCAAAATTTGGGCTACAGATATCCACGCTGAAAATTCCATACTTGTACCAAAAATACAGTGTGGAATCAAGCTGTTACCAAAAATAAAATAAAAAATTTTATCGTCAGTCAAGTTTGCAATGTAGCCACCATGCCACTAGGTGGCTCGCCACCATGGTGCACTATGAATTACTGGTATTAGATGGTTGGAGACAATTGCCCGACCTAGACTTTGTGATAGTTGGCACTCATTTATCATCAAGGCGTATCTGCAACCTTGAAGGAACTTATGTCCCTCCTTTTGAGATTCGAACCCGCGTCATTCAGTGCTGCAGTGCTGTTGAGTTAACTTCCTCAGGTGTGGGCATCCAAGATGTAATAGCTGCCTACATACCAGTCTGTAGACACATGCAGAGTCTTGTTTTTGTCATTTTGGGTTCGAACCCTTCATGAATTCGCGTAGAAGTACCGTGTATTACCATTATATTTGAATCCTGTCACTGTTTTAAATTACAATCCAGTAAAGCAAGCAGTCATTACGAAAATTCATACCTTTCTATATTATTTTTCCTCTAAAAGTGTCAACCAGAAAGGAATATATTTTAAGGTTTAAATTATCACAGTGAATATTATTCAGGTATGATATGAGCACAACCTGATTGTTGCCAGTGTTATTTCAATAATATGAAAGGATAACTTGAGTTATATCATCTCCATTGACACACTGGTCATTGTCTCTGGCATCTCCGTCACCATCTCTATCCTCCTTATCGTAGGGTCATCTTGATATCCCCATATCAGCATGTGCATTTCGCGCTAGAGAATCCCTAAGGTCACTGACTTGTCCCCTCTCCTGCTTCTGTGACCTTCCATCAAATCTCCGCTACAATCATTAATGCAGTCATATTCAATAAAAGACATCTTCCCCTCCAAATCTCAGAATAACTTGTGTCATCTTTCATAGTTTTACTGTAATTCAACTTTATCCGATCTTTTCATGTGTAATACTGTATTCCTTTTCAATTTGATCATATCTTCTTTACGATCAATACTTTCTAAATGTACATTATAAACTGTTCTCTTTATATTCTCATATTTATATTTATCTGAATTTAAAATATTATGACTACCATTATTAATTCCTTCAAGGGTCTTTGATTGTTCACTACCAATGTGTTGTTTAAATAACGGTAAGTTCATTTTTTCATTGGTTAAATCATTATCAACTTTACCCCTTTCCATTATATTGATCCGATATCCTGCTTCCACATCGTCATCATCATCGTCGTCACTGTGTGTTAATAAATGATAATTTATATACTTTGATTGATACCATTTATTACTATTATTATCATGATACTGATTGGTCAATTTAAATTTTTTTACAAAACTATCAAAATACCCGCCTTTATAATTGTTGTCATTATTAAACCGTTTTAATACATTTAAACAATTCACTTGAAGGTCATCCGAATAAAATTCATATAATGGTATCATTTCATTATTTTTAGTTAGCTTAGCCAATGAAGGACAGATTCTATTATTCTGCAGAGATTTATTGATTAATTGAAACGGTGACGACGACGATGGTGATGTTGAGTGGCAGTCAGTAGTCGACTTCTGGAATTGATTTAACCCAGAATCCTTTATTTCATGCGAAGTATATTCAAATAAAAGTGAAGACGTGTTATTGCTATTATTAGTGTAAGCAGTATGCTTAAAATTCTCTTCAAGATAACGATTTTGTACAAAAGCCTTTATGTTATTTGATTCAATGTCTACCTCACTCGAATAACTGATCACATTATTGTTAACATTTTCATTAAGTAACAATGCGTACTGACTTTCATTATCAGTAGTATATTTTGTTTTTGCGAATTTCTGTATGAATTCTGACGATAAAATTAGTCGTTGATATTTTTTTGATAAATTCCGTATCGTTGATTTATGTTTATGTAAAACTTTCATGAAATAATTATACAAAAATATAATAGTTATAATAAATAGAATTACTAGTAATATTCGTATGATGATAACGGTCTCATTTCCTGTGCATTTCTCACAAGACATTTTAGAGGTATTCTATAGAAAGCGTTTTTAACGAATTACATACAATGGTGGTGGATAAAAAAATCAATACAATAATATTTCAAGGTCAAGCATACTTTTGCGTTGATTGGTTGATTGATCGATCGAATAAATTTAAACATTAAGGTCTACTAATTTATTCATTGTGTTAGAAGGCTGTTTTGCACACTTATAGATGAGTTTTAATTTCCGATTTTCTTTCTTTAATAGCAAAATGTGAAATGAGGGTAAATCTTAGAAGTAAACTGGAGAATGGATGACTTTAAAATATGGCGACCCTAATGAACGGATTAATGACCTTGGGTAATCACAATTAAATGCGTCCGTAGTATATGGGTGCAATGACGGATGCTGTACACCAATTTCTTAGTAGATTTCACCCAGATTTAGAATTTTGCTTAGGCAACAACCTCACTGGAAGGGAAAAACATGTTGACAGATGTGGAGGTGCGATGCATTTGCGAAGATAAACTGGCTGCATTGATGGACTTGTGTTTACAGGTGGGAAGACTGCCGATATAGGAAGGGAATTTGTTAGAGAAGGTATGCCATTCTTGTTTTAGTTTATACATGCTGTAGGTACTTTCTTCGCCAGGTTGAAGTTGCCTTTAATGAAAGTTGTGTGTCACAGTTGGGTCCTGAAAAGATCAGTTACAACTACGGGATTTGACACAGAGAACTCACAAGTGTATGCAGTTTACTGGTATCAGTACTGCTTATAAAAAGGAAATACAATCGTAGTAGACTGAGTGCTAATCAGCAGTGGGTTTGAGGATTATCGAATACTACCCTGAGGAGATGATATATCCAGACAATCCCTGATCGTAATGCCAATGTTTTGTTACCTATTATCCAACGTTTAGTGCTACCTGGCGCAACGATACACACATACTAGTGGAATAGCTACAGCCAACCCTCATCCCTGGGTTATATTCCCAACGTGATCAATCATACTGATGATTTCGTTAATCCCTTCAAATGATCTCACATAAATTCCATAACAAATGTCTGGAATCAGCTAATAGGGAGGATCAGGGCAGTGAATGGGTCAAGAAACATGGTGATTTACAGTTATCTGGAAGAATATATGTACAGAAATCAATTTAACCTAACTATGTGAACTCCCATGACAAATTGGAAGGTTTTTACAGGAACATATACACAAATATTATCCTATGCAACTACTTTCTAACATTGCATTACTTCTATAAAAACATTATAATTTTAAATTACGCGCTTTACGTCGGACGCATCTGATTGTCGATAGAGATTTGTCAAGGTTTGCTATGATTTAGAGTAAACCCATAAAGCGTGAATAGAAGTTTTACAGTTCAAGTTACCACAATCTATCTAGAATACAAAAGCAGACAAAAGACAGAGAGAATAACGAGATTCGAAGGAAACTATAATAAGTGGAAATAACAAGAGAACTCACTTGGTTCTGTGAGATTTTAAAGATTAATTACATCTGCGTCACTGCGAGACAGAGAGAGAGGATTTCGAGTCGTGCCACAAAAAGTCATAAGTCATTAATTCTTAGTATCCTAATGTCCCCAATAAGACAGCCTCCACCTCTCTCTCTTTGGCTGGTTCAAACCAATAGTCAAAAACTTGATGAACTCATGACGGATTTTGATTCGACCACCAGTGATTCTTTTCCAACCTAATCTTATATCAGTTAACAGTATTCGTCAAGGAAGGGCTTGGTTCAACATGTGAACTATCATACATTGAAGCACTGCAGCAAAAATTAAGAATTAATTTAAGCTACTTCCAGATAAAGCTATCAAGAGAACATATTATGCTGTAAAACATGTGTTCCTTAACACCACTAAATAGGTACTTCAACGATCTGAGGAATTTATTATTATTATTTCCTTTAATTCCTAGAGGAACATAGCGCTTCAGCGGCCTTATCCATTGCGTCCGGTTCTCTGCTAGAGTTTTCACCTGGCTCCACGTCTGCCCACATGCTTTCATCTCCTCTTCATATCACCTCCTCCAAGTCACCCTCACACTGACGACCAACTCGCCGCTTCCCGACCAGGTTCCACTCGAGCGATGGCTTGTCTAGTGATGTCACTTGATGGTTCCCTCAGAGTATGGCCAGCCGATCCATCTCCATTTCTTCCTGCCTATTTGTTTCACAATTGGTTCCTGGTTGGTTCGCTCATTGCCAGAGATCCCTCCCTGTTGCTGATCTTTTCTGGCCGGCCATCTGATCTTGAGTATTGAGCGAAGACGACTGTGAATCAACGTCTGTAGTTTGTTTGGGTGCTCTTTATGACGAGCCGAGTCTCTGATCCATCCGTATAGTAGCACTGACTTTACATTGGAGTTGAAAATCCGGATGTTATTTTCATTTTGATGCTGAGTGCTGTTGATCTCCACACAGACTTGAGAGTGATGAAGGCTTTTCTCGCTTTCCCGATGGTCCTTGCTTTGATATCCTCGTCAGTTCCGCCCGCCTGTAGTTGAAACGATGCTTCCCAGGTAGGTGGGTAGGTGAAGGAGGTTGTTTCTTTCAGGTTCCTCCCATTTATACTGATTGTTGTCTGTAGTTGTTGCTGCTGTTGGTGTTTCCCAGGAATCTTCATCACCTCTGTTTTCTCCATGTCTACCTGAAGGAAGTCCTATCTTCTCTGGATGCTTCATCTGCCAGCTTGTTGCTTTTCACTTGCATATCTTCAAGTTTGTGGGAAATCAGACATATATATATCATCGGCGAAGTCTAGATCCTTCAAGTTTTTTGTGTGGGTCCATTTTATGCCTGTTTCCTCATTACCCGTTGTTTGTCGCATTATCCGATCTACTGCAATCAGGAAAATCATTGGCGATAGTAGGCAGCCAGCTTGTCTTACTCCCGTCTTCACTTCGAATGATTCCGTAAGTTCCCCGTTGTGGATTACCTGGCATGCAGCATTGTCGTATAACTGTTGGATGAGATGTGTAATTGTCGATGGAACCCCACAGCGGTAGCGAAGTAGTTGCCAAATCACCTCTCGATCGACGCTGTCTGGTGAAGGCCTTTTCAAAGTCGATGAATTTGAGTGAGGTGGAGAGGTGACTGCCATTCCAAGCTCTGTTCAATGATGATCCGTAGAGTGGCGATTTGATCAATGCATGATTTGTTTCTCCTGAATCGGGCCTGTTCCGGTCGAAGCTTTTCATGCAGGTTGGTTTCTTTGATTCTCTCTCGTCAGGATGATGTGGCTTAGTATTTTGCTTGGAATGGACAGAAGCATAATTCCACGCCAGTTTTTACATTGACTTAAGTCTCCTTTCTTTGGTAGTTCGAATAAGTATCCTCTCTTCCAGTCCGCAGGTACCTTGTCCTCTTTCCCCACCTTCTACAGTAGCGGTGCCATCAAGTCCGCTGTTGTCTCTGGGTCCATTTTTAATGCTTCTGCTGGGATTCCATCTGGTCCTGCTGCTTTCCCAGGTTTTAGCATATTGATTGCATTCAGGACTTCTGATTTCGTCGGGGGATCGATGTTCACTGGTCGTTCTGCTTCCGTTGTTGGTATTGTTGGGCGCGTTGTAGGTGGCGATCGATTTAGAAGTCTTTTGAAGTGTTCAGCCCAGTGTTTTCTTTGTTCCACCTCTTTGGTGATTGACTTTCCATTGTCGTCCTTTATTGGCTTAATCTGTGTTGAACTTTTCCCCGATAGGTGCCTAGTTGTTTGGTAGAGTGTGGCGAGGTCTCCTTTGCCCGAAATAATAAAATAAAGAAGTGTACAATTTTAACAAACCTTTATTCATTAGCAGGCATATTGTCAGAGCGTCATAGTGAAATAAGGCGTTGTGATTTTCAGGGTGTCTAAAGTATTACGACATATACATGTACATATATATATATATATATGTATATGTATATATATCTTGGTAGAGAGAAGTTCCTTGAAAAAAATTAATTAACAGTTGTGTTGTAGGGGTGATAGCGAAAGAAAATTAGTAATAGTTGCGTAATTAGATAAGAGTAGATCAAAATTTTGGTGCACATGAGGTCAGATGACAAGCTGATGATGTAATACAGTGAGCAGAACTCAGAAGATCAGGAAAAATTATCTCTCAAGAGAGTCAAGCGCAAAATTAAAGGGAGGGAATGGAGTGAAGAGATAAGTTAACAAAATTAGAAAACAAAGAGAATTACTAGGAGGTGAGTCACCAGGGTAGTTGAAGTTCAACAACGGGTTCTTTTTGGACACATAAGTCAGGCTTCAATCGTTTTATTGGCATAGCTTCAACAAACCTGAGAAGACTTGAGGTAGTACTTTGTCTGTTAGTTTTGTTATTTTGAATAATTCCAGCACATCTACTCGGTGCTGTCCTGTGTTAATCAGGTGTTCGGTGGCGATTGAAGAGCTTAAACAATTCAGTCCCTTTAACCGGAGGCTCTATGGTAGATGTTTGCAGAATCTGACGTAGACCCTCCTCTCTGTTCTTCAAATGTAACTGTATTATCAGCACTATACAGTTCTTAACTCTTGATATATTCAAGCTGTTTCACTCACTCACTCACTCACTAACTCACTCACTGATAACTAACTAATTGTTTATTTAAGTGATGTAAATTAATCGTATAATGCATTTTATCCTAATTTTCTGTCGCTCTCTGTCTGTAGAAAGAGAGTAAGTAGTTCAATCGAAGTTCGATGAATTCATTAAATCCTGTCTGCTTTATTAACAGAATTTATTGTTTGTTTTACTTTCAGATAGAATAATAATGTGTGTATATAATATATATATATATATACAAATATAACAAATCTCATCGTTCCTCAGCATCGCGTGTGTCTGATGTTTTGAAGAAAACTCTAATGTCGAGCTGACTGAGTACTCTACTCTGATATCGCCTGACCTCTCCACTCTATGTGGAATGACAACTGATGAGGTCCATGTTTTCGGAATACGTTTTCGACCATACTTAATGTGAATGTTGATTTTTTGTTGAAGTTCCTTGGGTAGTTGTTTTGCTTGAGAGT